TTGTGCTGTGATATTTTCTGATCAATGCCTTTGCGACTGCAAACTGCAAAATACCCTGTGGACCAGAACCAGCAGATGACAAGTACAACAAGTTAATCACTGACAGTAGACCCACCTGCTGGCTAAACCAGACTAAACCTGATTTAAAACATTTATAAATGACTGCATGTTCTGAGGGCAGTGTCTATCTTTACTTGCACCGTTCTCCTGTTTGTACGGTAAAGCCCTCCAGAGCATCTGGGACCAGGCTACACATTATATAAATGATCCAATGAGCTGCTGTCAGTCTGGGTTGCTGCTGCTGCTACTTTTAGACACAGCAGGCAAGCCTGTGGCAAGCCGGGCGATGGGAAAGAAGGAGAAGATGATGAGAAAAAGAGAGCAGAGAATGTGTGGACTGCTGGAAGAGGTGCAGTGAACTAGTGAAAGAAATGTGAAATGGTGCTCAAAGATGACCCTGAAAATTTTGAGGATGTTTGGCTCAACCTGCTGCTGTGAAGTAGGATTCTCCACCATGAACAGAATCCATTCAAACCCAGGTTTAAAGCCCTGCAGGGCAGCATAAAGCCCACTGTGAACATTAAGCCAGAAAAAAAAAAAAGAAAAAAACAATCAGTTCAGGTATTTTATTAAATATGTTAATCAGGAAATTGTCTCTGTACCAAACTGAACAATTGTTGTTCTCTACTTGAAAAAACACTTTATATCTAAAAATGTAAAAATTTTATTTCTTTTTTATATTTCTTTTTTTATTTAAAAAGTCAGTGTATAACATTAATACATAAAAACCTCATTTTATGTCAGTGTTAAATTCTAACAGATTATAAATAAAAATGTCTCCAGACCTTTACTGGCTGTAGATTTTCTTTATTGGGACCCAATGATTCTTAATTGGTTTTCCCTGCTGTAGAGACTTCCCTCTGGACTTCAAACAGCATGGATCCCGGATTTCCTCCAGACTCTGGAACCTAGATTTCCAAATCAAATGCCAACTACTGGTACTTTGATCCATAAAGAAGTGTTTTTCCGGGTGAGAACTTTTCCAGCCATACCACACCACGCACCGTTTTGCATGTGGGACAGAGTTCCTTTTTGGTCTCATATAAACAAAAATCCCTTCTCCAAACCTTCAGTCTCCCCACAGCTTGTAGGAAACAAAAAGTCTTCTGGCTTTATTTTGGATCGCTGCAGCTTCTCAAGACTTATGGTTACCTCTCTTCTTACCCTGCAATATTTTTGTTATGATGGATGAAACATTTCTTAGTAACTTGTTTGAAGACTGATATTTAACTTTTTAACTCCTGACCCTATGTTAAATTCTGCACACCTTTGTGACTCGATTGGTTGTCCTGTTTTTACAGTAACTGACATACATCTACATAAAAAGGCCTGGATGGTTCAGTGACTGTGGTGTAACTGACTGGCTGGGTAACTGGCCTGATCTGAACCTCATAAATAATCAGTTGGCTGTTGTTCTGTGGGAGATGATAGAAACCAGACCCAGCAACGCAGATGACCTGAAAGCAACTATCACAACAACCTGGGCTTCAGTTACACCTACGCCATGTCACCCATTACCTCTATGCTGCATGACCAAGTACTGTGTGCATAGAAATGGAGATGCTCTTCAGGAGCCTGATATTTCTGCTTTTGTAGTTTCTGAGGAATTTCGTGTTTTCTTTACCTGTAAGTCATAATCATCAGATTTACAAGGATGAAACACTTAAATATATAACTAAATGTGTATTTAATCTTCAAAATAACTTTTTTACCGAAATTTTTTTTTTTACCTTTTATGCCATATTCTATTTTTTAAGACGAACCTGTATAATCAAAGGTGCAAGATCTACTTTACTGCGTCACAAATACCTAGAGCCTGGAAAACACAACAATGATAAATGAAATAAAAAACCCTTAGTGGACCACGCCCAGTAGCAGATTGGATTAACCAGTGACGTTAGTGGGAGGTGAAATGTAGTAACCTGAGCGATATTTGATTTTAGATATTTAGAGGACTAGAATGCTATGTTAACCCTTTCTATGCTAGTAATGTAAAAGATATATGCATCATGAAAGGCATGGGGGCTAGATGAGCTAATACTGGTTCATCAGCTGCTTATCAAAAAAAAACAAAAAAACAAAAGCATAAAAAGAAAAATATTTTTTTTTTCAAAACAGTTGAGTCTGAGTCCTGCTTACTGGGTAAGGAAGACACGATTGTTCTCATACCAAAGGAATCTTGTCTGGAACAATAAACCCGTTTTGATTTAATCATAAATATGGTGAACTTGCTCAACATTTTATTAGATACCAGTTACCAATGAGATCCCTGTTACTTCTTTATTTTGTAGGTTAGAACAAAACAATAGACAGACTGTGAGTGTTTAGCCTTCTCTCTACAGTATTATCGGCACGTTAACAATGTTTTGCATTTACAGTGAGAAAATACAACACATCCTACAACAGCTCACTGGTGGAATTCATAAAATGGCAGGAATCTACTGTTCGAACAGCGTCACTCATGAGTTATTGGGTTCATATGAGTGCTAAACGTGACTTCTTCAGAGTGTCAGAGGTATTTTCTTCATGGTTCTTTAGGAGTGCCTCTGTTCTGTACCTTCTCTCCAGTAGTATTGAGTTTAGTCATCATGAGGCTGGATGCTCAGTATTAGGTCACCGCCGCTAAATCAGCTTTATTTTGATCTTTTTTTGCAAACAAGCTTGTGATAGTTTACTGCCCTTTTGATGAAATCCTGTCGAAAATCATTTGTTTGGCACCTCCTCAGGTTTAAAAGCAGTTACTGCATCTGATGTTTATTATTAGCTTAGCGGTGGATTTGATCTAATGCAGGAAAAGTTTGCGTCTCCACGCTGGGAGGTTCCCTACTGCAGGGGCAGGACGCCGCCATTTTGTAATGCCTACTCATAGTGCCAAGCAGAAGTTAATTAATCCGGCAGAATTTTTAAATCTCTCATTATATACATTTATTAAAGACTTGGGAGAATTTAAGTTTCAATTCACACTTAAAGATTATTTTACATAAACCTACATTTACCTCCACAGAACCCTGCTCCCTCTTTTCCTCTGTCTCCTGTTAAGACGTTATGGTGTGAAAATCCTCTGCATCTTTTGACAGCTGCATTGCAAAACTGTACTGGCTGTGATCGTTCTGCTCCCCATGTTTGTGTCGCTGTAATTTCCAGTGGGACGCTGTCAATATTTGTATTCATACTAAAAACTCATACTGCATTCGTAACGCCCACAAACCTGCCCACCTTATTTTTATATGCTGTATTGTAAAGAGATGAAATAAAGACAAATGAAGAATTAGTTTATATACACTGGAAAAAATCAAAATCTAGATAAGTAATTTTTTCTTAAAATAAGTGCATTTTTTCTTGAATTGAGAAGGTAAAAGAGACATTTTGCCAATGAAACAAGACAATTTACTTTTAAATAAGAAAAAAACAATTGCATTGTCTTATTTCAAGTGCATTTTATCTAATAATCTTATTTTAAGAGCAAAAATACTAATTCCATTGGCAAATCATCTTATTTACCTACTCAAATTAAGGATAAATACACCTAATTTAGGAAATTTTTCCTTATTTCTAGATGTTTTTTCCAGTGTAAAAATAAAGATCAGGTAAAAATAGAGCAGCACTGGGAGAAAAATGCTGGAAAAAAAACAGGGTGTCTTTAGTTTTTTTCTAGAATAAGAGCCCCAGAGCAAACAGGAGACACAGAGCCGATCCCGTCACCATGTCAGCCGAAGGGATGGGAGGATTAGTGCAAAAGTTGCAAACAGTCTTTTAATGAGTGCTGAAAATATACAATAAATTAAATCAGGGATAACCTCATAATTATCAGGTCTTAATGCAAAAGCAAGCTTTGTTACATGTATAAAGGGAACACATAAAAACTTTTTAAAATTCTAATTTAAGCATTATTTCAGATGTTATTATCGCTGATTTATTAGTGATAAAGATAAATAGATTTAAATATCTTAAAACCTCTAAAGGTTGAGTTATGGTGGTGCTATGGGAAGCCACTCAGGTTTCCAGGCTGCGTGTGAATCTGAGCTGTAGGAGTTTATACTTAATAATACTGATGCGGGTATTCTGTGAAAACTCAGGGTGAAGAACACTTCCGTAATTCTAGGAAGGTAAAAAATGCTTCACATGCAACATAAATGGCTGTGAGACTTACATAAAGGATTATTTCTTATCAACTTGATTCTTTTTTTTGGCGGGTTTTAGACTCATGAGAGTAAAACAAAGCACATTTCAACCTGTTTGAACATTAAACTTAACCTAAATTGAATTCTGATGAATTTGTTAAATCTTACTTTTTAACTCACATTTATGTTTCTCTTTTTTGATTTTTTTATTGTATTTTCTTAAAAATTGCTGCTCTCTTCTTTCTGTTTGACTATGTTTGAGTAACATAGTAACATGGAAAGTAACACATTTACAAGTATGAATAAAAAATCTACAAATGTTTAATGAACTGAGCATGAATTTGTTATTTTTACCCGTAAATTGGTGATTCCTCTTGGTCAAATTGTGAATTTAAGTTGCACTGTTGCAAAGTTGTAACTTTCTAACTTATTCATAATTTCTAAACTTATTTTCTCACAAATGAATAAATGATGTCACAAGCATCAACGAGTTGACAAAAAGGAATCTAAAACAACCTATTTTAGTTACATTAATGACTTCCATTTACAAATTCAGACATCTTGCAAACTTTTTTTGTGTATTGACACTTATCTTATATTAAAGTCAGAATTCTGACTTTTTCCCACATTAAGCTGAAATAATATTTAAAAATCATTTAACTTTTTAACATTTTTTCAGTGTCCCTAATCCTCTTCCGTACAGATGAGTGCGTTATGACGCACATTCAGACGCAGAAAGGCAGGCTGAGACACCCTCCTCCCTCCCTCCCCTCCCTCAGGGTGAGGAGAGCCTCCTCCCACATAGGCACCAGCTGAAGCCTCCTCCTTTCTGACAGAGAGAAACAATCTGCTGAGCTCAGACAAGCTGGGGCAGCTCAGGATCCTCAGCACAGCCTGCCAACCCAACTCTTTAACACCAGGCAGCAAAATGTAGCAGAAATCATCTTAAACATTTCAACCCAGGCGCATGAAGGTGCCTCAAGACCAGATACATTTAATAGAAATATTATCAGCTTAATTATTTTGGGAGAAAAAAAGCAGGTTTCAACGGATTTAAAGATTGCTGCTGAGATGGAGATCTGCAGTTCTTAAACTGAGCAGAAGACATGGGAAAATGGGAGCTGACCATGGTGAGTTTGGCATCAAACATCACATTTAGCAGCTGTCAGAGCTGATATATTTCACTAAATGTTTATGTTAACTCAGCAAAAATGTCCTTTAATTAATTATAAGCCTGGTTTGTTTTATTTGGCATTCTATTTCATTGTTTATCATCCATTTTATTATCAAATGGAATAAAATAGGATGAAATGTATAAATGTATCCAGGATCTATAGGTTATTAAAATAGTAAACTGTGTAGAGACCCTGTAGAAGTAGGAAGGAGGGGTGTGTGATGACAGTCAATAGGGGCCAGTTTTGACATGAGGAATATGGCTCACCACCCTGGGTGAAAACTTGTTGAGGATTGATTTTTTTTTTCTTCAATCCTTTATTCTATTTATTCTTATTTCTAAGTTAAATCTAATCTTTTCTTATTCTTACAAAAACAGTATTTAAAGCGATATAAGAGAAAAAACTGATCGCTGTTCTGTAACATTTAGTCTTTAAAATCCTTTTCTAAACATCAAGCATGAAATTTGATCCTGCAAAATCTAAATTAAAACTTGAGATTAATTAGTTTAAAATCATGCTATTGATGAATTTAAACAAATACATTTAAGTTTGAATTTAAATTTAAAATTTGAAGAGTGAGTATGAGTGAAAAAGTGGGATTATTCTTAATAAACTGATATAGAAATTTTATGTGACCAATTTGTTTTAAAACTCGAGGCCTCTTGCACGCCCTCTGCTGGAAACGCTAAGAAGTGGCTCAGTTAGCCTATGCTTTGGGGTTAACGTGTCTAATCTTGTGTCCTGCAAAGATGATGATTTGGTAGAAAAAAAAAGAGGGCAACTCTTAATTGCATAAATCAGCAAAGTGTTTCTATGCTGCAATCTTCTAAGGAAGATGAATTGAGAAAGTTGCAACCTCATACACCGAAAACTCATTGACTCTTAGATTTAGAAGTTATGTTATTTATGCCACCGACAAAGGCTGGATTTAAAGGATAAACCTCTTTGCAATTATCTCTGAACTTGTTTATTTTTATTATTTATCTGCATCTTCAATCTGAGTTTTTTCCTGAGTCATATGTCCTTAACTCTGCACATATTCCAGATTCTTTGAAAGACACCAATGGTTCCTCTGTGCCACCTGTCTGCAGATCCTGTAGTTTAACCTGTTTCTGTTAAGATTCAGACTATTTGATGCTATCGCTAAACTATCTAAAACTGGCCAGAGAAACTCTCAGCCTTGAGTTTTATAGCTTTTACTTTCACTTTGCTCATATATAATCACGATAATGCCCATTAAAACATGTCAGACATATGGTTCTGTCTCACAACCCACATGATCCAACATCTTCCCTTCAATTCTAGGAAAAATATTCAGCTTATGTCAGATTTGTCCACCTAAATTAAGTTAAATTATAGTTTAACTGAACATTTCATAAAACAAACTAACACATTTGATTTAAAAACTACACAATCTAAAATAGAAAACATATTTATTGTGCAGGAATCAGGTCTCAGCTCTGTTACACTGGTAGCCAAGTAATCGACATTTCGTTGTCAAGATTCACCTTGTGTTTTTTTGTGCAATGACAATAAAGGAAGTGTAATGTAATTAATGTAATTTGTAGTAATGTAAATAACATCAATGGCAGGAATTTCCTTCCCTCAAAAATCTTTTTTTTTTAAGTTTTAGGATCTCAGTCAATGATCGGCCTTGTGCAACAGTTTTCGTGTTAAAGTCTGACTAACTGAAAGTCTGAATCAGGTGCTTGGCTTTTCTATCTGATAAAACCAGTTCTTCAGTGTAGCTCTGAGTTTTTCAAATCTCTGCTGGGGCTTTGGTTGTAAAAAGGATCTGGAAGCTCTCAGAGAAAGCAAACAAAGCCTAACCTCCTATTTGATTATATGAAAAGAGGATTTTCACTCTAAGGAAAACAAAAGCTTCTACGAACACCTGCAGTCCTCAGATGTGCTTTTTCTTCTCAGTAATAGGTCACAGGAGGATTGAATACCTGTTTTTTCCCCTCGATGTGCCCACTTTTAGATTTTCCTTTATTTATCCTTAAACACTAATGTGTAGCAGTAGGATTCTTGGAAAGATCAGGCCTGCTAGGAAACCACAAAAAGAAACGGAGGGGGAAAAAAACAGCACCATTATATTTTCCTTTTGGAAGTCCAGATTCATATCGTTTCTAACTGTCTGCATCAGCAGGAATAGAGATAGTTACAGTCGCCACACACTAACCTGTTTGTCCGGTGGATATAGATGAAGTTAGCAGACGTAAATATTACAGAGTTGCTGAAGGTTTAAAGGATCAGCGTTAAGTCTCTGTGGGCTGCTGTGTCACTTGTTTGTGTGGCCATGATTGCTATTTCTGTTTGTTGGGCTCATCCTCTGACCCTTTTGTTGTAACTGCAAGCATAACTTCTATTTTTGTTGGTGTGACACCTTTAGGAGGCGGACAGTCACTCTATGTTAAACCCAAGGATTATTTTATTTTGGATATAATGTTTTTTGTTTTGTTCTTCCCAGAATCCAGTGCAGGAGTGGGGTGAGGAGAAGGAGGATGGCGCCGTGTACGGGGTCACGCTGCGGCGGGAACCCGTTCCCTCCTCGCCCAGCTCTAACGACAGGACCCCCTGCTCTGGTTTCGTCCAGTACCGCACCTGTAAGGTGCGTCGTCTAAAGGCCGCCACGCTGGACAACCTCATACGACACCTCCTGGACGGCAGCAACCAGGAGCCCGACTACAGCAGGATCTTCCTGTCCACGTACAGGACCTACACCAGCAGCACAACCCTGATAGAGCTGCTCTTCCAGAGGTACAGCTGGCCCCCTCTTTGATATTCACATTAAAATACAAATAAAATTCAATGTTTGCTGGCAGCATTGGAAAACATTTGTCTCAGTTTCCTCATAAGAGTAAAATGCAAATCCTAGTTGGACTTTCTGGAAAGTGTGGCCTACATTTGTATTTGGTCTCCCTTAATATCACATCACTAATAATGAGAATATATTTGCAGCTCAAATGGGAGAGTTTAAGAAGAACCCTATTACTCCACATAGCTGGACCTTTTGAAAACTAAAGCTGGCAAGAAGTCTTGTTTGCAGGTTATCAGGTGGTATTTAAGGGGAAAATGTGGAACGTGTTAAATTAGTTGAATGAACTTGCATAAAAAATTCAATATTTTGCAAAAAACTTGCACCATTAGGGTTGGCAAAAATTTTGGGTTTGCAATACAATCGTAAATTGACAAAATGCAATCTTTAAATAACAGAGGATATCTACATTTAACAAAATAAGACAATATGGAGTCAATTTAGGTCCATTATTTTTGCAAGCAAAGAACACATTTTGAAAATGAAAAAAAAAAAAAACTTTTATAAATTAAAATGTGAAAATCTTGAAATGTAAGTTTTTCTTTTAGTTCTTTTTTTCAGGTTGAGCTTTAGGAATTGCATCCTTTCTACACTTTGTTTTGCAGATAACATTCCAATAAAAACATTGCTAATGTACATTAGAACCAATGGAAATGTGTCTAGAGTGTCTAGAGTTAAGTGCGCACAGAAGTAAAAATAATATGATATGAAAAATTCAATATATAATCAAGGAGATTTATAAAACTCAATCTGAAAAGGAGGAAAAAAAAACATATAAAACCCCATAAAATTTAAAAAGTATAAAGAAATTAAAAGTAGCCTATATACTTTTTGAAAATAAAATCATTTAATGAATTAATACGGGAAGACAGCAAATACACTCAAAATATCTTTTATTAAAATGTTTTTTTACTTTCATTTTTTAGGTTTAATTTCCAACAGTAATGAAAACAAATTTATACATTTTTAGAAAAGTTATCAAAAAGAAAATATGTTTAAATCAAAGTTCAGGCCTGGATCCAGGACTTGTAGCTGCTCTTCATCCAGGCTCACAGAGCTGCAGCTAATCTGCAACAAAAAAATGTGTCTCCCAATGTGTGAGGCTGCTAGAGATGCACAAACAAAGAAGAAACATTAAAAGGGTCTGAATCCTCCCATAGCCAACATTTCTGGTTATTTTCCAAGACCAAGGAAGCATAAATAAATCATGATCCGACCTAATCTTTAAAAACATGTTTTGTTTTTTCATGCATTTCACCATGTTTTGATGGGAGTCTCACATTTGAGGTTCCCACCGATAAAGGGAGCTTTCTATCCTGACTTTGATGGAATGAAAACCAAGAGGTGCTCATTAGCTGGAAGCTCCAACAACAGTGATTATCCACGCCAGATTTTAGCCTTTGGTTGGTTGGATTTAATGTCAGGGAGGAGCTCTGTACAAATAATAATTATAAGATCGGGCATGTGAAAAGGCAAGGCTGACTTTTGATTTTTAATTTGTTTACAGAGAGAGCGCCTTTTCAGGTTTGGACAACAGTGATTACTGCAAGAGGTACGTGGAAAAGTTCTGAGTTTGCCATTACAGGATCCATCTCTGAGTGGAGATATTTCCTGCTATTTAATGCTCCCCCCTGCTCTCTCCTCAGCAATCTGTTGACCTTTATCCAGACATGGTTGGATGAGTACAACGAGGACTTCAGGGACCCTCCGCTGCACCCGGCTCTCCGCCTGCTGCTCGACCACCTGAGGATTAGCTCCGCCGTGCATGACGGCATGCGCAGCCAGCCCAACTTCTGCTCACTGGCCGGGCAGGCAGAGGAGCTGCTCCAAAAGTTACAGAAAGAAGAAGGTGACCATCAACATCTCAATAACATTGAATTATAGCAGGAAACCTTTAGAAATCCCATTAATACCTGTTTTTAATTTCAGGTTTGTCATCAAATATCTATTCTGTTGCTGGTGGTCTAGAGCACGGTGAGGATGATTCTGCTAGAGAAGACTCAGGATGTGAAAGCCCTCTGGACCACGGCTGCATCATGGATTTCTCTCCCACAGCCATCGCTGAACAGCTCACTCTGATGGACTCGGTGCGTCTCCGGATATTTCTCATCTTGCCTTATTTTTTATTTACTGGCCATCTGATCCTTAATAACTGCCTATGGGCCGTCCTTCACATTTTCAGGCCCTGTTTGTCAAAGTGGTGCCCTACCAGTGCCTGGGCTGTGTTTGGTCCCAGAGAGACAAGAAAGAGAACATGTCTCCCACCATCCGAGCCACCATCACACAGTTCAACGCCGTGACCAACAAGGTTATGATGTCGCTGCTCTCCCAGCCTGCAGAACCTGCCAACAGCTCCTCCTGGCTGCCTCCTACAACTCCAACCCTGAGGGCCCGCATCATTGAGAGGTGGATCAAAGTGGCACAGGTGGGTTTTAAATCATTATTTATACGACATCTGATGTTCTGGTCTCCACATTTACAGGGCAGCTCTTCTAAAACTGATATAATGTTAATATAATCGTATTCTTCCTGGAGGTTAAAGCAGGGTTTCTTAAAGGTATAGTGGAGGATTTATTTTTCTGGGGGGATCATCTAAATAGGTGGTGCTCCTAATTGTCAATCATTCTGGTGATATGTTTACATGCTTGCTAGTTTTGCACCAATACCGATACCAGTATCGGCTGGGGCCCCAATCCAGCACTAAAATGGTTGTATTGGTATCGGCGAGTACCAACAAATGGGGCACCGATATCATGATGGTAATCATTTTACATCCAAGTAGTATGCAGTTCTTCATATATACACAAACATCAATTTCAAACAGATGGTATCGGTATCGGCAAATACTGCACATGGGGGGGGGCTCCGTCCTTCATGTTTCAGATGTGTCTCAACTCAAGCACAACCTGTTTGAAATGATTGCATTACCTCTGCAGCCATCAAACGCTGCAGCAGCCTGTTGATCACCTGCTCAGTCAGGTCAGGTGTGTGGAAGCAGGGAAACACCTCAAACATGAAGGGCAGAGGCCCCCAGGACCAGAGTTAAACCAGAAACCCTGGTTTAAACTACGCTGTGCAACAGAGTGTAGCACAGCGCTGCCCCACCCCTCCCCAGCCTGTTGCTGTGCACTGCCATTCAGCTTGTTAAAGAGGGCGATGTTGCCCAAAAGTCCAATTTGACATATTTGAAATATGTTAGGATGCAGAAAAAAGAAAAGCTGTGGTGTTTTACTGGAACAAGCAGCTCATCTGATAAGCAGCATAATTGGGTTTTACTTGTGTTACTCAAGAAAAACCAGAAATACTAGAAAAGGTCAATATTCTAGACAAAAACCTGCTGAAAGGTCAGGATCCTGGAGAGGAGAATGAGTAAAGGATACATTTTTTGTAGTAGTTGGTCCAGATTTGAGCCCCATTTGAATGAATGAAAAATGTCTGTTTTGCAGGAATGTCGCCGCTTGAAGAATTTCTCCTCCCTGAAGGCGATCCTTTCTGCTTTGCACTCGAATGCCATTTACAGGCTGAGGAAGACCTGGGCAGCCGTTAGCAGGTGGGGGTCAAACCTTTCCCTTTTTCTTTTTAAGCCACATTCTTGGTCCATCCCTGCGGCCTTACATGTTCTTTCTTTACATAGTAGTCATATAATGAGGACATCGCCCAACCTACCAGGGCAGTTTTATAAAACGTGTCAGTAAAAGGTTTTATTTGGTTGTTGACCCATATTTTAGTTCAGGGCAGAAGCTGAGTTCAAAGTGCAGGAGTAGCTGATCCCAAACTTAACCTAAACTGCTTACCATGCATGGATGCAGAAATAAGTGAACTTTTAAAAATGCTTCCTGTGGATGATGTTAAACTTTGTCCTGAACATGTTGTCTTTGTCCCTGTTTGCAGAGACAGCATGGCCGCCTTCGATAACCTCTGGGAGACATTCCCTGACGAGAAATGTGTTCTAACTGTCAAAGAGCTCCTAGGAGAGGTGAGAAACACACCAGCCCTAAAGTAGGAAATTATTCCCAGTTTGTAACAAAAACAATAAGAAAAACAAAATATTAATTGAGTGTGAATTTGAGCAATTCTCAAAATACAAACTTTTTATAGCGCTTAACGGGACAGGAAATGCAAGCTTGTTATCCTTGACAGGGAAAATTAAGGCTTGTTTCAATATTGATTGGAGAAGTGATTTAAAATGACTCCGTTTTCTCCACTTATCTACTGGTAAAAAAACAAAACAAAAAAACAACAGCCTTAAATTATTTACATCATTCATTCTGTAGGTGTTAATAATAATCCATGATATCAGACAATGGTAGAGTTTGCAAAATGTTAAATGCTGTACTAATGCCAGAAAGTCTGCAAGCTTAGATGCTGTAAAATCATTTTTTTAAAATCAAGGTCAGTCAGTCCATCCATCCATCCATCCATCCATCCATCCATCCATCCATCCATCCATCCATCCATCCATCCATCCATCCATCCATCCATCCATCCATCCATCCATCCATCCATCCATCCATCCATCCATCCATCCATCCATCCACCCCATCTTTTCCCACTTATTCCGGTGCTACACACTGCACCACCATGCATCCCATTCCCAGGTCCACCTACATGAATAAACTTTAGCGTTAGCTTCTGAGCCCCTTTGCCTCTTTTAGTTGGCACCAGGAAACAGAAACTACTGATGTTCACAATCGCTCCTTCTGTTTTGGTTTAATTTGAGAAAATTAGCACCTTTTCTTAGCTTTTTTATTAGGCTACTGGGATATGACAATGTTTGAGATCCATCGAATGTGAATTTAGTCTACTCTCCTGTTGGTGCTGAAATCTTTTTTATATCGACGATGTCATCATAACCAAAAGTTCATATTTATATAGTTTGGAACCATTAAAATTAATTACTAAATTATTTCTATTCTTTTTTTGGTAAAATTACGGCTTTTATTTTGAACCAGTCTAGAATTTCTTTGTAAAGATTTTTACAAAAAAATGTTTTGATGGAAAAGTTGTAGATATGACATTAAGGGTCTTTTCTTGATTTAAGTTAAAAGAAAAACCCTGAAATTTTTCCCTTTAGATATTATAATTCTACATTAAAGCCAGAATAAATCTGGGCTGAACATATGATCAAAAACATAAAAAAAAAAATTTGCACTATATTAGACTGTCACTCAAGTATCAGTAAAGTCAAAGCAAACATTACAGAGTTGGATGAGACGGTCCTGTAACTTCAACCTGTGGATTAACAATAATTAGTCAATTATCCACATAGATTTCAGCCTCCTTTACTCTGATAGCATTGAATACAATGATAGTTAAGCATGTTGCTGAACTCAGAGTGTCAGGAAAGGTGATATAATTAAATAAATAGATGTTAATCAAATATTTTATCCGTTCTGAGAAGTATTTATAAAAGAATAGAACCCTGAGTTGCATATTTTAGTCTATAACAGGCAAACAAAAAAGCACAAAAATATCTGCATAAGAACCTGATGCAGAGTCTCCTTGAAAACTTTCCATCTTGAGTTAATGTTTGCAGAAATGTTTGGCTGCTTATTAATAGCAAACAAGGGGCCCAGAGCACATTATGTTCTCTTCTTATTCTCTTTCTCCGTAGCTTTCTTTAGGGAACTGCGTCACAGGGGTCTATTGTCCAACTCTAATAAAGAGCCCTAAAGTCATCAGCTCCGTTGCACTTTCTGTACCCGACAGTGAAGCAGCTAGTGTTTGTTGCCCCACAATAACATCCCTTGATCGGGGATATGAGCATGTTTGCTTTAATCAGGCACACTCATCAATCTAAACATGTTACTATAACCAAACCTAAGCTTGTCTGCTTATGGTTAAGAATGCACAAGACGATTGGAGGTGGAATAAAGATGGATATATGAGCTAATTTGTAATGAAATCTCTTCCTTTTGCAATGCTCTAACTTTAAACTGAACACAGCTTTGATTGTCATCAACAGGATGGGAGCCAAGCTAACGGGGATAATGTTTCTCCGAAGTTAAACAAGAAGTGTCAACTCCGCCGCCAGATGGTAAGCTATATCTCAACATCATCAAAGAGAAAAGCGTGATCAGGCGGGATTTCCATATCGCTTTTATCTCAGAGTCATTTTCATATGAGGCAGAAGATTCATGCAAATCCCTCTCACATTATACGCTTCCCAAAGTCACAGTATGGTTGGTTTCCCTCTCCGGTCGGAGCTGGAAGCCAAACATATTTTTAGCTCAGTTTGTAGGTTTCAAATGGCGTCAGGTCAGTAGGATTATAGGTCAGTAATAATAAACCAGACTGGGGGGCTTTTTAATAGCTCCATGCACATTCTTCTGTGCTGTAACATGATTCTGCAGATCCGCTGACTAAGGCCTGAACATTGTCCTGCTAAGATGTATAAAAAAGGAAGAGTTGAACTGAATTCTGATAACTGAACTGTATTTTTAATGAATATCTGCCTATGTTTTGTTGGCAGAGTCTCTCCAGCGGAGTCGTCCCGTACCTGGGGACCTATCTGACCGTCCTCACCATGTTTGACACGGCTCTACCGGACACCACAGAGGTGAATGTTTTAACATTTCTGCACGAGAATTTAAACATTTCAGTATACAAAATAGAGATTGTTCAGTAGGAGTTTAGTCGCTAATTTTCAATCACTTTTTTTTTTTGTCAGTTATGGCAAATTTTAAATTTACATTTGGAGCAGAAACTATTTTGTATTAAGGGCAAAGAGAAATTTTCAGGCTGTGTTGAGTTTCTTTTTTATCAGGTTAACATTTCAACAAACTTCACTGGTCAGAGATGCACTGATTAGAAAATCTGGGCCGATATTCCAAAAAAAAAAAAAAAATCACAGTACTGATATTTGCTTTCTGCTTCAGTTAAACATCCTCTGCTGCATCACTATCTCTGTATATAACACATGGCCATCCCAGCCCTCTGTCCCTCCCATAAAAACATACAGAAACAGCAATAATATTGAAATAAATCATTAAATACTGTTGGTCCATTTTTACTTATGAGAACGATACCAATATTAAAAAAAATGACTAATATGAGCTGATTAACAATGTTAATACAGAATTATCTGTGATGCAATCCGCCTTCCTATTTCCTAAAGTGTTGCAGCTAAAGGAGTCGATAGCAATTCAACGTTTGCTCATTAGGACAAAGATTTCTGATGATTGGTGTTTTTTTCCTGATTAAAAAGTGATACAATAATGCTTTTTTCATATTACTAGAAATGTTTAGTTTTAAAGTTGCATTAAATTTGATTTAAAGGCATTTTATACCTTATTAATTAAAGATTTAGGTCATGAAATAAAATACTAAAGATAAACTCTTCCAACAGGGCGGACTTATAAACTTTGAGAAGAGGAGGAGGGTAAGTAGTTCCTCTTACATAATAAAGATTTTATAGATTCTTCTTTATTTATACTTTTTCAGTCTGTAGGTGTTATATATTCATCTGCTTTACATGTTGGATGAGCCTATAGAGTAGATATACGTAGTCAGAGTAAACAAAAAGTTAAACATAAACCTAAGTTCGTATTTCCAAGCCAGAGTTCTCATGTGACTTTCTTAAACTCAGAGTGGTGCAACTACCACCATGTTGCTGCAGGAGGATTATGCAACCCTTAAAGTCATGGCTGCCAGCGGTGCGTTTCACCCTAGTTTCACTGTTTATCCGTCAACATTTCTCTTTTTTTCCCACGCAGGAGTTTGACGTCCTGTCACAGATCCGTTTGCTGCAGGCGTCGTGTTCCCAGTACAACCTCCCCACCCATCCCAAAATATCTGCTTGGTTGCACCGACACAAAATGCTCACGGATCAGGAGAGGTGAGCGCCCCCCCCCCCATCATGTGATTAAGATCACATGCATCCCTGTTTGATTACAGTAAAGCTTTAGTTTGTCCTCCAATAAAAAAAAAAAAACTGCCTCAAAAAGAATAATGGAAGGCCGGATGCTTGATTCGATGTTTCGGATAAAGTAAAAAAAAAATGTTTTTAAAGGAAACAAAACATGGCCTCAAGACAAATTAAAAGCAAAAGTTTAAGTTTTCCTTGATCTGTCGGTATTTCTTTATATTGATGTTTTTTCCTTTAACAGCTATGAATTGTCAAAACAACTTGAACCTCCGGTGGACAATTGTTCGCCGACCTCCTGGAACAACCGCTCTCTGTCAAAGAAACTCCAACTGTGAGTAAAGCACACTGCATCCTAAAAGTATTCACACCCTTTGACCTTTTTTCAAATTTTCTCCCTTTATGACTAAAAATCTAAATCTATTTTAAGTACTAGATAAATCTGAAGCTGGATTAAAAGTGTTTGACTATTAAAGTTCTTAATATCCTCCTCATCCTTTTATTGAAATAGTTCATTCTAGTTTTGGCTGTAGCTCCAGCTGTATGTTCAGACTTGTTGTCCTGCTGAAAGGCGAACCTCCGCCCTAATCCTGAGTCTGTTGAAGCCTGTATCAGGCTCTGTATCATCCTCTGTTGTTTGTCATCCATTTTTTCACAATAAAATTAACTTTCTTGTCCCCGCACCATGACACCGCCCCCACCGTGTTTCACTGTGGAGATACCGCGTTTAGGGGGATTTGCCGGATTACATGTGTTCCAGAAATAATCCAGAAGGTTTAAATAGGACTTATTTAAACTCCACTTTTCTGTAAACTCAGATTTAAGCTCTTCTTATTTTCTCCTGCTTCATTTTTGCTCTACTTATTCTTGCGTTACCACCTAAAATCTACCACCGAAAAAGTACATTGAAGTTTATGGTCACATTTAACCAGTTCAAGGGATGGGAGTAGTTATGCAATGTAGCTTTAGTTTTGCATATTCAAACCTGCGGTACACACACACACACACACACACGCTTTACTGCATAACACCAAAGTCACAGCTGAGGATGAAGATAAAACATTGATTTAAAGTCCTGAATAATTTTGTATAAATGTATGTTTTTCTTGTTAGATTTGTTTTTTACCTTTATTAATAAAGTTTTCATCCTCCAGTTTCCGGTCAGTGAGCGATAACTCTAAGAAGCTCCCACCTGACCAGATCAGCCTCTCGTCTTCTGGATCCAGTGGATCTGAGATGGAAGATCTGTCGTCCCCGAACTCGACCTGTTCCATCAGACTGCAGGTAATCAGCTCCGTCTCCGTTCTACAATGAAACGCCATTGTACAAAGAATTTGAAGCAGCCTCAATTACCCATAATTGCTTTAATTGATATGTTTTTTATGTACCTGTCATTTAATTTAATGTATCTCTGTTTAATATGTAAGTTTGATGCCTCTTGTCCATGACTCCCTTGAAAAGGAGATTTTTTAATCTCAATGGGATTTTTTCCTGGTTAAATAAATTATCTCTGATCTCTTTCCATCCTTTTGACACTCGTGCTAACAGGGACGGTCTTTGTTGAAACGTTTTCATGCTTCAACAAAATGCTCTCTGTGCTCAAACTAACATCCAGCTGTTCTATTCAAACAAAAAACATGCATTTTTAATTAGAGAAGAGAATAATTTTTTAGTTTGAGAGCTTGCATAAGACTGTTCTAATTTTAAATATTAAATAATCTAGAGCTACAAACACTTTCCCTTCACTACTCAGATATATTCATCTGTGTGCCTCTCCTCTGTAGTCCTTTCATAGCTCCTACAACAACGTATCTGAGGCCTTCTCCTCCTCTTCCTCCTCGCCCTGCCCCTCGGCGACTTCCTCTTCAGCGTCTCCTTCTCCATCGGGTTCCTCCTCCGACCTCGGCTCTACAGATTTAACTACTGCCGCCGCCCCCCAGCCCAACCCTCACCTGTCCTCGCATCACAAACGCTCCATCTCCATGACGTGCCTCCCCATGTATAACCGCCAGGGGTCTGACTCCTGCATCATCAGGGTCAGTGTGGACCTGGGCCACAACAACGGCAACATGTACAAAAGCATCCTGGTGAGTTGTGTTGTAAAAAAAAAAAATTCTGGTGTGCTGAGAAATATTGACTTACTTCAAAAAGGAAATCAACCAGAGAGGAAACTAAATTAAATTTAATCAAAGCTTCATCAATCCACCCCTTAAAAGGAGAAATATCTTTTTGCTTTATGTTTGGATTTACGGGGAGGTGGATGACAGCTGAGGAGATGTCGCTGCAAAATTTTATGCTAAACTTTCATTAGCATCATCTGTTAGCGATAAAGCTTGTTTAGCGTTACGTCATGAATATGGATCCTTATGTCCAAAAGGGCATAAACATTTCTAACTTCAGCATGTTCACTAATAGAGGTTTAAAAGGATGAAATTTATCCCTTTGCTGGAAACCACTGAGCCTTCCTGTTATTTTTGCAAAGTCTTGCTCTTTTTCAGCCTAGGTTTTTAATTTCTTTTCTAATCAACTGCACGTGTCACAGTATTTGGCATACATTTTTACATTTATAATCCTACTTTTCTGCCTTAACCCGTCTGTTTGGTGCCCTCTTTAGAAGTAAACTTTTAGGAGACTGATGTTCGCAGCTCTTTTTTTTCCAGCATTTTATTTTCATTACACCGTCACAAGTACAGAGCAACGAAATTAACTCTCTGCATTTAACCCGTCCCCTTGGTGAGCGGTGGGTGCCATTGGTTAAAGGTCTTTGCACAGGGAACCAGAGTGGGGCTCAAACTAAGAACCTCAGGATTCCAAGCACAATGCCCTAACGCTGCCATTTCCCAAAGCAGGCATTAGCATGAAGGGTCAAGAAATAAACGTCAATATGGATCTCTGGATTCATGCATTGCCATAGCAAGTTAGAGTGAGTTTAGATGCAGACTGTAGTTTAAACGCTTTACTCTGATCTACATCTAAACGCTAAAACACTGAGAAACTGTCCCCAGAGGCTCAAACTGTTGCAGCTCAGGGCCGCTGGTCCTAATTTACTCTGTCAGTAGATGGTGGTGGGAAAATCCTCACCTCATCAAAAGTAGCGAAACAATCATCACTGTGATCTCCGTCCATGTTTGCATCTATATCAATCCAACTACCAATCATAACCACCAGGCCCAGTCCGGTCAGCCTGGGATCGCTTTCGAAAGGTGCATTTAAAAGAATACAATACTGGCTTTGAAACCATTTCATTTTGCTCTTTCCTGAACCTCTTGCTGATATTACAAATATAATGGAGGGAGTGAAAGTAACACAACCTGTTAGCTTCCTGACGTACACAGATCAGTTTTATTAGTGTGTCAACGGTTGGTGCTGATCAAACAGGAAACTCCAATCTTCAATAATTAGCCGTGAATTTACCAGTGGTTAGATTTCTCATTAGAAATTAGGATAAAAAAACAAACAATAAACTACAGTTCTTTGTGAAAGGCAGAAAACTCACTTTCACTGTAAAATAGAGATGCACCAATCCACATTTTTTCACTACTGATCCGATTCCAATAGTGATACTAATAATTTGGATATCTGCAGATCCTGACAGTTTTCTATTACTATATGATGTTAAAAATGTATATGCTCATGTAAGCATTTAAATTGATTGTATTAATTAAAACAAAGACAGCTTCAATTTATCATAGCATAAACTACATAGATCTGCCGATATGGATCGGGCCGATTTTTTTTTTTTTTTACATTTTTTTAAATGATATATATATATATATATATATATATATATATATATATATATATATATATATTTTTTTTTTTTTTTTTTTATTATGAAGAACGATAACAATAACCTCTGCTCTAAAACATCCAGAATGTTCTGCTTTATTCTGACCACCCTGTCTGCAGCCTGCTTGCCCACACAGTATAAAGACTGTGCCGATTCTGGGGCCTCATTTAAATCTAGAAAGCTGTTTTCCTTATATTCCTTTTTTCTATTTTAAAATGCTAAAGATTGTCCTGTTTCATTTTGGAAAAAAAAATGATTTAATCATTATCCGTTTTGCTTCTTATTTAACTCCTGAGCTACAGCTTTACTATCATTCTGGAAAATGTAGAAATGTTTTAACAGACTGGTTTTCCAAAGCTCAATCAGTAAAAGAAAAACAGTTCACATGTTTACTCATCCTAACAAAAACACCGGAACAGAAGGCAGTTGGAGACGATTACTCTTCAACCCAGAAGGCATAAATCTATCATTCAAAGGAAAAAAGCAGCTCTGTAGAAGGATCAAGAAAAAACAGAAAGCTGTGGGACTGGAATAACTGCAGCGGCTGTCACCAGTACTGTGACATGTTTAAACCTGCCATGACTGAACAGAATGTTGCAACGGATATTTTACTGTAAAGCAATTTCCCGGTGTGACGGAGGCGTGTTTGTGTCTCTTTGTGTCCCACAGCTGACCAGCCAGGATAAGACTGCTCAGGTGATTCAGAGGGCTTTGGAGAAGCATCACCTGGAGCACATGAACCTGCAGGACTTCACCCTGTCACAGATCATCACGCAGCAGAAAGGTCAGAACAGACCCAGTGGATCAGTGTTGAACCTCTCAGGGAAACATTCCCCAACCATAACCCCCCCTCTACTGTGCTGTCTGTCCTCAGAGCTACTCATACCAGACAAAGCCAACGTCTTCTACGCCATGTCCACAACATCTAACTTTGACTTCATCCTGCGCAATCACAGCAAACGGCAGAAGAAACCTCTGAGACCGACCGCCAGTCTGGGTCGGTTCACGAAGTGAGAGGAGCTGAGCTGATTGGACGTTCCTGGAAGACATGAATTTGCATCCTGCTCTATGGTTTCTACCAAAGTAGGATGGAGTTTAAAGACTCTGTGGGAAAAAAAGCACTTTATTGATGGAGCCTAAAACTCCATCATCAAATCACTTCCTGTTGGATCAACAGCTGAAGGGTGTGGGCTTGGCTCATGTAGAGATCTGCTGTGATTAACTCTGATTTAATATTCTCATGAAGCCGTTTGGGAACACCCTGTCTTCCTGCAGCATGTGCTGATTTCTTTACACACAAACATAAAGAAATATGCATTTCTTAACCCAGCTGGGAGCAGATGATCGGCTGAATGTCATTTAAAGGGATCAGGCCTTAAAATGCCTTTTGTTGATCGGCATTGCTGGGGTGGAGCCAAAGGAAATGGTGTGTGAGGGATGCTCTCCCAGGGACGCTCTTCCAGGTAGCTGCTGAGACGGAGCGGCTGGCAGCTCCGACTGGAAGGATGGCATTCCTGCGCCTGGCTCGTGACGGCAGCGGCAAACGATACGCTAGATCTGCACTACTATGTGTCAAAAGACAGAAAGGATTATCTGGTTGTTTTTTAATGTTAGTTTGTCTTTAGATTTTTATGATTTATTTTTTTTTATAACATTTTGTATTTATTTTGTCCTCTCTGTAATTCACTTTAACTGCACCTTTGTTTGATGGACACACCTCTATGACTCCCTTAACTTATCTCTGAAATGGAGGAAAAATGCTTGTTTAAAAAAAAATCATGACGCACAGTATCAAATGTTCCCGTTAATGCTCTTATTGGTATTGTAGAAAATATTCTGATGAATGTTTTCTGTTTTTAATCTGTCCTAAATAAAATGAACCTGAATTTAAATGATATATAAAAAAAATCAGTAATGTTGATGTAATCTTTCAGAAAGTTTCTCCACATAAGATGTGAATTCTCTGAATTAGAGAGGATCAACAAAGACCAGGTGGATCCTGTAAACACACAGGGTTAAATCAGCAGTTTGTTTTCTTTGAAAGTCTGGACGTCAACATGTTTCCCCCCAGAGGGAAAAATCACATGTTATGGGAAGAGAATGAGGAGCTTTTCTCTGATATCTTCTTCCCACAGAAGCTGTTTCTGGAAAACGTTCTTCTCTGCTGACATGTTTCAACACATGACACCTGAAACCACCTGGTTTTTATTATTTTTTTCTCTCTCCCTGTAAAACTGGTTTTCTTATCAGATTTTCATGACAGAAGAAATTTCAGATTTAAATGAAAGCAATTAACTGTTTTAATCAAGAATTTGATTAGCATTACCAGGATGTATTAAAAAAAAAGAAACAACCTTATAATAAAATTACAATTTTCCTACCTGGTTTGAATGGTTATTTTTAAAGTATTTTTAGCGCTTTAAGAAGTTTTCAAAATGATCTCTTAATATTACAAATACTACCTAACAGTCTAAACTAAGAACAGGTGCTATGTATTAATTGTGCCTAACTTTTTTATGGCAGGGATTACAAGCAGCATAACTATACAGCATTTCTAGTTTTTATATAATATTTTATATAATTTATTTAATACTCGATTATTGAAATAATTATCAACTAATACTAAATTTAGTAATAGATTAATTGAAAAAAAATCTACAGATTAATCTGTTGTAATTTATACACAGTATTTGCTTTCTTTTAAAATCTTTAACATATTTAAATCATCCTGCTGCAGTTTAATGCCAGGGATTCAGTTTTCTCTGAGTTTATCTGGAAGTAGCTGTTATCTGAAGAAGCAAATTCACACTGGAAGACTCACCTCAGCATCACCTGCATTCATTCACCATCAAGTCCTCATTCCTCTTCAGCCAACCATCCTGTAAGGTTCTGCTTAAAGCTCTCCATCCAGAGACTCCTGGTCTTCATTTGACCTTTGAACCCCCTCCTCCTCATCTCCTCCATCATGCTCAAAGGTCCTTCTGGCTTCCTTCTCCTCTGGCCTCCACTCCACCACCAGTGTCCAGATCCTGGAGGAAGACATCTTTAAACCTAATCTCACAATGATCATGTGATCTCTTTGTGTGTAAATCTCTCTGGGTTTCAAATGTTAATTTAAAGATCTAATTGAAGTAATAAACTGAGTGAAATTGATCTTAGTTCAAAATCAACTTTAATATTAATGACCAGATTTTTCCATCTTTAACTATGAAGAAACAAAAATACAGTTGAAAATATAGCTAAATAAATAAAGCAAGAAAAATGCTATTTTGTAGGATTCTGTGTATTTTTTTTAAATACATGAAAGGAGTTTGTCTTTTTTGTCTTTTTTAAAAAGTTCTTATCTTTGTATATTTAGTAGAAAATATTGTTTGACTGTGAATTCTTAATCTTAAGTCTTCATTAACATCAGAGTTTGTTTATCAATGAGAGAAAAAAAAAAACAGGTAATGACTGACATAGTTTATTGGTCTATGATGTTGGTTAATAAATAAAATGAATATTCTGATCTGATGATGTTATAGGCAAATGAAAACCAAAAATGTTAAAAAGACTGACATTAGCAGAATTCTTTATCTACAGACAACAGAACTGATGAAAGATCCTGTCTATACCGGTGGTTTTTATAAATGCATTTGCTTAGTGTTAGCTAGAATGTTTAAAAGTAAATTAAATAGTGAGAAAATAATTATGTGTCAGTTTTTTACAAGGATAAAAATGACAATATAATAATAATAATAATAATAATAATAATAATAATAATAATAAAAAAAAACATTTCGTGACGGCTTTATAGTCCCATCGTTCACCAGTGAAAGATGCTCCAACACCACCACCTGCTGGAGGCAAACTGACACTGCATATTGTTTGATTTAAAACTTGACTAACAGGTTAAAGAATATTAAAGTATTTTCAGACATTATTGAACTGAGCTGAGACGCCATTACTGGGTGTTAGATCTCTGCTGGAAAACGAGAGAAATATTTAGAGGACTTTAAGAAGAAGATAAAACTTTGGTGAGTCCTGCTGTTGAAATAATTCATTAGAAAATGGCAGAGGGAGTTTTGGAAAGTTACCTAAGCTGCCATGTGTGTTCAGAGACTTTCAGAGATCCTGTGTCTCTGAGCTGCAACCACAGCTTCTGTTCAAGCTGCCTGAAGAAATTCTGGGAACAAACTGGAAACAAGAACTGTCCCATCTGTAAAAGAAGATCTTCTAAGGATAATCTAGATGTAAATTTTGGTCTGAAGGAACTGGTTGATTCTTTTACTGGAAGAAAGAAATCTGGATCATCTGAGACAGAAAGAGGAGAAAAGCAGCTGATGGTGGTCTGCAGTAAACACCAAGAAGACCCTAAACTGTTCTGTAAAGACGAGCAGAGAGCTGTGTGTCCTGTCTGTGAGTTTTCTCTCCACCAGAGTCACAAAGTGGTTCCTGTAGAACAAGCAGTCAGTGAGCTGAAGGAGCAGCTGAAATCTGACTTAAAGTCTCTGCAGGACAAGAGGAACAAACACAAACAGGTGGAGAAAACATACAAGGATGTGATTGAACACTCTAAGAAGCAGCTGTTGTCCACAGAGAGACAGATCAGAGCAGAGTTCAACAAGCTCCACCAGTTCCTGAGAGAGGAAGAGGAGTCCAGACTGGCAGCTCTGAGGGAGGAAGAGGAGCAGAAGGGGAAGACTATCAGCAGAGAGATGAAGAGGATTCAGGAGCAGATCTCCTCTCTGTCAGACAGTATCTCTGCTGTTGAAGAAGACCTGCAGAAAGACCAGGTGTCGTTCCTCAGCAGTTATAAAGCCACTCAGAGCAGAGCCAGAGCCCAGAGCTCACTGTCAGATCCACAGCTGGTCTCAGGAGCTCTGATAGATGTGGCCAAACACCTGGGCAACCTGTCCTTCAGAGTCTGGGAGAAGATGAAGGACAAGGTCCACTTCAGTCCTGTCATTCTGGACCCAAACACTGCTAATGGACGGCTGCATCTGTCTGATGATCTGACCAGTGTGAGAAATGGAGACACAGAGGAGCAGCTTCCTGGTAATCCAGAGAGAAACACTAGGTACTTCAGTCTTTTTAGTTCTGAGGGCTTCAGCTCAGGAAAACACAGCTGGGAGGTGGAGGTTGGAGATCATCCTACCTGGATGGTTGGTTTGGTTAAAGAGTCTGTTGACAGGAAGGGAGAGATAAAGGCTTTACCGGAATATGGAATCTGGTGTTTAAAGCATGATGCTGGAAAATACACTAATGGTGTTGGTCAGATTCTCAAAGTGAAGAAGAGTCTCCAGAGGATCAGAGTCCAGCTGGACTATGACAGGGGGGAGGTGTCCTTCTACGACCCTGAAAACATTTCTCACATCTACACTCACAGAGACACTTTCACTGAGAAACTTTTTCCTTATTTCTATGTTTTAAAAGCTGCTGATGCTATCATGCTAACATCTGACATCAAAATCAGTAAATCTGAGGTTTATTTATTATTTTCTGACAAGTTAACTTTAAAGTGATGAAAGTTATTTGGGAAAATACTTTTGATCTTTCTTCTATGCCCGAAAATGATTGTTAAATGTAAATTAGAATTGAAATGGATTTGATTATAAACCAAAATGTAAAGTCATCAGTTGTTGTGTTAGCAACCTCTGAGCAATGAGATTCATATTGTTTTTTTTTCTTGACTCCTTAATAACTTAATTACAATTGTTGTGCCATATGCCATGATCATACTTTTTGCACAGTGGGAACCAGTGTCCATATTTCTTCCTGATAGGATGACCAGAGGAGAAACGCAGCTTTGGTGATTAACAGCTGGGGGACTTCTGCAGCCCCCCCTTTTTTCAGCAAAAGCAGCCACAGGCCAGTCACATGGGAGCCAACAGAGGTGTGAAAACCTACCCCCTTCCCTGTGAGGACAAAACCACAGAGCACACAGGATTCTGCCTCGTTCTCCCTCTTCTGCTCCTGCGCTCGAAGCTGTGGCCCACAGTGGAGATGCAGGCCCCAGGGGAACCAGATCCCCAGAACCATCAAAGATTAGTCAGAACATTTCAGAACCGAACTGCTGCAAACAGAACTTTTGCAACACATTTCTCTTGAGTTTCAGAACTTTTAGA